TGCTAAATGGAAGGAAATTGAAGTGTCTGGCGCATCCGTCACTTTGCTGCGTGTCCCCAGCCTTGTGAGGGTTGGGGATGATGTGTTTGCCGTTGCTGAGGCTCAGTGCAAGAAGTTGGAAGATGGCAGCAGCTTCACTGGCATCGTGTCGGTGCCCCTCAATCAAATTGATGATTCCGCAAAGGAGATCCCGACGACAGACGCACGTGTCTTTTGCACACATTTTGAGGAGACAAGTGGTGCGGCTGGCAGCAATGCAGCGGAGATAATGCAGCCAACGACAATGGCAGTTGACAGCGATGTCTACATGCTGCTGGGAAACTACAGCCGCACAGAGTCTGAATCTCAAGGCCCCGGTAAAGGTGGCTTGGGGCTGTTGCTGGTGAAGGGAACAGTCAGTGGAAATAATGAAGAAGCAAAGAGAATTCAATGGGATAAGACTGCCGTATTGAATCTTGGGACCACGGGACTTCGTAGGTCTTTGACTCGGTTGGTTGGTGGCGGAGGGTCGGGTGTTGTGGTGAGTGACGGCACGCTTGTGTTTCCCATGCAGGCAACAAACAATAAAGGGAAGAATGTTTTGTTGTCCATACGTTTCACCCCGTCAGAGAAGAAATGGGAGCTTCCACAGGACACGACCGGTGAGGGCTGCAGGGATCCATCAATTGTGGAGTGGGGTGAAGACCAGAAACTCCTCATGATGGCTCACTGTGAGCGAGGCTTTTACGATGTTTACAAGGGTTTTGCGGCTGGTAGAAGTTTGTACCCCGTGGGTGAGCCGATTTCTCGCGTGTGGGGCACCTCACTGAAGCGCCGAGGAGGGGACGGCGTCCGGAGCGGCTTCACCAACTTGGATCTTGGGGAAAAGAAGGTGGCGCTGCTCACCACGCCGGTGTATTCGGAGGAGAATGGAAAGGGCCAGCTGCATCTTTGGGTGACAGACAATGCCCGTGTGCACGACGTTGGGCCGGTATCCAGTGAAACTGATGACGCCGCCGCCAGCTCCCTGCTGTACAGAGCCGACAAGGAGGAGTTAATTTTACTGTACGAGAATAAGAAGAAGAATGGGGAGGGTGACGCGTACAGCCTTGTCGCCGTGAACCTGAAAGACAAGCTGTCGCGGGTAAAAGAGGTGGTTCAGCATTGGGCTGCATTGGACAAGGCACTAACAAGCTGCGCTTCCACCGGTGGCACAGGTGACCTGGGAATAAAGAATGTGTGTAAGGGCCCTATTCCCACGGAAGGGCTGGTTGGGCTTTTGTCCGGCACATTAATGGATGGGACTGTGTGGAAGGACGAGTACCTCGGCGTGAACGCAACGGCAAAGGGAGGAGTGACAAGCGAGGAGTGGGGTATGAGGTTCAAAGGCGCTGGGGCGTGGGTGGAGTGGCCGGTGGGCAGCAAGGGGCAGAACCAGCCGTACTACTTTGCGAACAACAAGTTCGATCTTGTGATGACGGTGACGATCCACGCGGTGCCGGGGGCAGACAGTCCTGTTCCTTTGATGGGTGTGAGGATGAATGACGATGACAGCACTGTGCTCTTTGGTCTGTCGTACGCGAAGGACAAGCAGTGGAGGTTCCGGAGGGGTGACAGAGTCTTCAGAAGGTCTACGGAAACGTGGGAGGTAAACAAAACGTATCAGGTGGTGGTGGCAATGGATGAAAGAGAGTGGTATGTGCACGTTGATGGGGAGAAGATTCATGAAGGGATCTACGATGCTGATCTGTTCAATTCATACCGGATCTCGCACTTCTACTTTGGCGACGGCGTTACGGCGAGGGGCACAGCGACCAGCCACGATGTGACGGTGTCCAGCGTCCTGCTGTACAACAAATTGCTTCGAAATACTGTAGAGATCAAGCAACTTAATGCCAGCAAATTTACTTTTCCGCAGCCTGGTGCGGAGGAACCAAACAATAAAGAGGGGGATTCCACTCAGCTCCCTGACGTTAAGACGCAGTCTGAGGGCGGCCTCGATCGGGAAACACCTTCGCCCCCCGACCAAAACGCCGCCACCGTGAATGATGGTGGGGATGCCTCTTCTCAGGGACTGCACGATTTGCCATCAATTCCAACGGCCCAGTCCCCAATACCTGAAGAACAACAACCACAAGAAGGTGGCGGCGGCATATCTGCGGGGGAACATGAAGAACCACGACCATCAGAGGAGGATGTCGAGGCTGGTGATGAAGCCAATGGTGGTGATGAAGCATTTCCTGAAGGCGAGGTCCCTGAGGGAGTGGCTGGTGAGAAGGAGCGGGAAAATGAAGAGCCGCGTGGCGGTGCTGAATCGGGGTCTTCGCCGCCTTCATCGTCGAAGGTGAACGCTGCTGCCGATGGAGACGGCGACGCTAAGGCACATGCCACTGAAAACGTCCCTTTGCAGCACGAGGCCAATGGGAACCAAGCGCAGCAAGGCAGTCCGCTTCCATCTGAAAACGAAGAAGCGCCGTCTAATGAACCCGAAGCCGGCGGTGAGAAGCACACGTCTGGCCGCGGAGCGGAGGAAGCCGCACCTGAAGCGGCGGTGGGCCCAGGCGGCAGCTCTCTTCCAGCCAGCGACGCCGACAGGAATCCCGCGAAGGCGACACCTGACGCTTCTTCGCCGGGCGCAGTTGAAGTGTCTCGTGGAGACAATGAGGAAGCGTCACATGGCACCGGTAACGTCTTCGCTACCTTCAAGAAGATCACTGGCGTGGGGTCTAACGAAGGAGGCGGTGACGGCGCTGAGTACGGTGAGTGCGCGCGGCGCCTGTTGCTGTTCGTCCTGCTGGGGCTGTGGGGCATTGCGGCTCTCTCCGCAGCACAGTGGGGGGACTGAGTGGGCGCGCCCTCACGCGAAAGACGCCTTCAGTTGCCCGGCGCCACCCGTTGCATTTCTTCGATGGACTACCGTTTTTGTTTTTTACTTTTACAACTCTCTTTC